GATGGTTTGGGATTTCTAGCATAATGTACTCAGTTTATAATTCTGATAATCATTACACCATGCTATGGATGTTAGTTGATGAACCGTTGAATTTCTGTTTTATCAATCGTATGGATGTGAGTAATGTAAATTGTTTGTCATTACTTTAACAATTTATTTGGAGGATTTATGATTATAATCATATACTAGATGCATGATAGGATCTTAAAAATATCTGATTTCTATTATGATGGTTTCTGGATATGCTTGATGTTTTAATGAATGTGCATCATTTGTGGATCATTTGCATTATATGTACCGGTATGGGACGGTGACATATCAGGGATGGATTAGATCAAAAAGCTAAGTCTTACCCCATCATACATACGGAATGGATTAACTAAAATAGTTAACTCCTACATGGATACATGTCCTGTCAACTAAAACAGTTGAACGACTTAACGGATGTTTATTTTATCTTTCTGCATTTAGGAAGGAATTTATATATATATTTATGGTACCGTGATACGAGCTTGAGTCTCCTGATCACGGTTAGGGTGCGTATATTGCAAAGGTTGAGTAGCTAGATATAGCTAATGTTCACTGGTAGGTCTAGGTACTTAGCCGCTGAAATGCGTGTTTTATAGGTCATCTTCTACTCAGGCTGAACTATGTTATAGGCTAGTGAGCATCCTATAGTGTGTATATATATATATATGGACTATTGTAGATATTGCCGAGCTATCTAGGATGTATCTGTGTATCGGGTTTATGTACGGATTGTAGTAGATTGGAACTTGCATGTGGGCCTAACCCACTCCTATTTTTCAGGTGTTCGTGAGTACCAGGCTTAGGGTTTGATCGTGGTGATGCAGATACAGTCACTCACTCTTCCGACTACATAGGATATTCTTTCTTATTTTGGTTTTGGATTTTAATTCTGTAAATGTTTTACCAGTTGGAATTATTAGGGGTCCACTAGATGGATTCCCGAGTTGTACAGATTTGACGGATTTAAATGTTATTAATTTATTATTTAAGGTTCGAGGATTTTCATTTTAGTTTCTTTCAGCGCATTATTATTTTATTCTTAATTCAGTTTTATTCTTGCTTGGTTACATATTAATTGTCTGGTATCCCTCGAATCTGTGCTCGGACTTGATCACCCGTGGCTCTAGAATCGAGGGGTATCACATATCTTGCCAAAGACACCTCAATTAATTGAAATACTTGGTGACCGAGTCTTCTCCTTACCGAATCTCACCAAGTTTTAGAGTCAATTCGTAGACCTGAGACTGATTTCCCAGATCAAAGTACATCTGATTCACTTTGTCCCAGGTCGTGGAGTAGCACATATAGTTGGAGCTATTATCCTCGTCCATGAAGTTCATGAGCCAAGTCATCACCATTAAATTTTCTACATCCTAGGTCACATACGTTGGGTCCTTCGATGTTGGTGCCTTCTTGTCTCACGTCAGGTACCCGATCTTTCCCCGCCATCTGATGTACATCCGAACGGATTGGGACCATCGTAAATAATTGTCAACATTAAAGCGAATATTAGTGATCTGAACCGAGTGAGAATCGGTATTGGGGGCTTGGGTTGCAGGATTGGTTGGCTGGGTTGTGAAAGGCAGGGTTGACACGGTGGAAATGTCAGACATGGCTGATTAGTGAAGAAATTGTGTAGAAAAGAAATTAGGGTTTTTTTTTTAAATTTTTTATGGGTGGCTCTGATACCATATAAACTTGAAAGGGAAAAAAAATATGGAATAAATCTTTTTTCTGTATTAGCTCACAACATTCATAAGTTTACACGGGTTTTGTTTATAGGAGAGAATACAAGAATAAAATCAGAAAACTGATTACAATAGTTAACTGGCCTAATTAATAATTTCATAATTTATAACATTGACCAATATTCTATTTATAACAAATATCTTTCAAATATTATATTTACAGCTAATAATATTTGATAGTATTACAGTCGAATCTTTCTTTTTTTTCAATAGTTACCCTTTCAAATTCATTCATCAAGATTCTGCACATTCCAAGTCGGCGATATTGAAACCGCGTACCAACAAGCGTACATCTCCCACCTTTCCTCCCTAAATCCTTAAGAAAAAAGAAGAAGAAAAAGAAGAGCGTTTCAGATTCCAATAAAATCTAAAAAAGACAAGGCAGTTCATCATCGATCTGTAATTGTATAGTACCGCACGGTAGCCACCGTAATCAATTCATCGTTTCTTTACAAAATGACTGAATAAAACCCTCGGAAGTTCAAACGATTTAGTTCTGACTTGAAAAATTCTCATTCATTACCATCAGGCTTGGAGCAATAAGATGTATGTCTTCCGAGTAATAAATAAAAATATCATCAAAGGACATATTGGACAAACACGCCAACTTCAACTAGTAAAAAACATGAGGAAAAAACACACACACACACACACAAACAAAAACACACACACACACACACACACAAACAAAAACACACACGAAGTTTATATAGCAGCAGCAGTGTAAGGAAAAACATCACAGGTTTGAAATGAGATGGACTCAAGTAAAAGTAGTGATCTAACTATTTCTATTTTTATTATATTTCTATTTAATTTAAAGTTACCTAATAAAATAAATTATATTATGCTCAGAATTCTTCAAGGTTTAAACAACTTTACTTTTTCTATTTTATTATATTTCTAACTTGTTCCTAAATATAAATATAGATTTAAATCTTTCCAAATAATAAAATAAATTACCAATTAAAATTGGGTAATTGTTTAATTGAAAGATTTATTTAATAATTTGAAACATCTCTATAAAATAAATGACAGATTAATAAATTACCAATCAATATGTTTCAAATCATTTATAGATAAAATAAATCATATAAGTTACCAATTAAAATAAAAAAAAGTTATGTATTAAAATATATCTATATCTATATCTATATCTATATATATTATTAAAAGTGTAAAGATTTTCAGTATTTCAGTATTTATTTATTAATATACAAAAATATTTATTAATTGATATAAAATGAATTAAAATAAATGAGTTTCTATAAAATTATTTGAACAACTAAAGTGGTTCAGATTTCAAAATTTATTAATTGATATAAAATGAATTAAAATAAAAGAGTTTCTATAAATAAAATGAATTAAAATCAAAGAGTTTCTATAAAACTATTAGAACAACTAAAACAAGTTTACCCATAAAAATAAAATAGGTAATTATTTAATAAAATAACTTACCAAATAATAAAATAAATTATCAATTAAAATTAAATAGGTAGTTGTTTAATTGAATTTTAATCTAAGATATTCAAATCATTTATAGATAAAATAATAAAATAATTTACAAAATAATAAAATAAGTTAACAATTAAAATAAAGGGAAAACTACACCAATAATTATTATAACAAAATTATAATAACAAAATTGTCTATTTTAAAAGTTCATTTTTCACTTTAGTTGGATTAAGTAAAATATTTACATATGCACCAATAATTATTATTGAAGTCTAAAATATCCTCCAAACTTTTATTCCAAAATACTACTCCTTAAATTATTTACCTTAAAGCAAGTACTTTTTTGATATAAGTTATTTACTTAAAAAATTTAGGAAAATAAGATATTTTCTTTAATTTTGAAACATACTACTGCAACTTTTTTTAAAAAAAAAAAAAAAAATTAAGCTCTTTTATGCGAAGAATAAATCTTATTTGGTGTGATGTATGTTTTGAGATGATCATCATTTAGCTCAATTTATATATTTTTATTTATATAAATAAAAAAAATAGTTGTTGGTATACCATTTATTGAACAATCACTTAATTAGTTTCACGTTTCCACCCCTCGCGCGAGTATATGATTTCGCAGCTAATTTAGTGTCTATACTTAATGTATGTGTGTGTGTGTGTATATATATATATATTGCACAAAAAAGTTTTCACATTTACAAGGTTTATATTGGTATGAATTAGAAGATATGGTTAAAGTTATATGCACAGAAAATTTTCTATATATATAATGAATTTTAACTAAATTATTTGTATATTTCGAAATTAACATTTGCAGGTTTAAAGCAATATAGATTAGGAAATACGGTTAAAGTCAAGTACACAAATTATTTTTTACTTTTTTACTATATAAATATATATATGTTATTTTTTTTATTTTTTATTTTTTTATTTTTGGTAATATATACATCACATGCAAAAATACCCTCAAAGTTGAACGTCAACTAAAAAATTTTGTTTTTCTAAATTTCTGGAATGAAAAAACTATTGATTTAGGAGGATATTTTGGTATGTTGAAATAACAATTGGAGGGTATTTTGAACCAAAACAATAGTTTTCAATGCATATGTAATTATTTTGCTTAACTCAATCAAATTGAAAACTCAAATTTTAAAATAGACTTATTTGTTATTTAAGACTCCCAAGTCTACTTAAGTATATTTATGCTCGGAATTCTTCAATGTTAAAACAACTTTTCTTTTTCTATTTTATTATATATGTAATATAAAATGAATTAAAATAAATGAGTTTCTATAAATAAAATGAATTAAAATAAAATATTTTCTATAAAACTATTAGAACAACTAAAACAAGTTAAATTTCAAATCATTTATAGATAAAATAATAAAATAATTTATGAAATAATAAAATAAGGTACCAATTAAAATAAATCTTATAAATTACCAATTAAAATAAATCATATTATGCTCGGAATTATTTAATGTTAAAACAATTTTACTTTTTCTATTTTATTATATTTCTAAATATTTTCTAAACCTAAAGTTACCAATTAAAATAAATTCTTCAAATTTTTGAAGGTCAAAACAACTTTACTTTTTTTTATTTTATTTTATTTCTAACTCATTCCTAAATATAAATATACATCTAAATCTTTTCATTATAATATTATAATTTTATAATAAAATTATTATTATATTTTATTATAATGTTATGGTAAGAATACATTACTTACATTTATATATGAAAAATATAAAAAAATTTAAGTTAGGGCAAGTCTTTGTTGGCTTGGGCATTGAGGGCCTCTAATTTTGAGGCCCATGGGGGATGGAAAAAAAAAAATTAAAAAATTTAAGTTAGGGCAAGTGTTTCAGACGACACAATCTGCTTTGACACTCCGCAGGACGCAGCCTCCGTATAGCTTCAGGCTCAGGTGACACCGTGACAAGGTATGTTCATCCTCTCTCTCTTCTCTCTCCTTTTGCATGAATCGATCTTTCATACATGTTTCGTTCTTTCGTTCATCTCGTCATTTGATTTATTCGCACTTTATCTCTCCTTGTATCCATTTGTTCGTCAAAATGTGATTAGAAACTCAGAAATGAACCATTTTCGGTCACCGGAGAGGAATTCTTTCAACCTGAAAGGAGATGATGATAATAACTCTAAATTAGGCTCCACGACCGGTCTGAATCGCAAGAAAGTCTGAATCACAGCAATTTCTTCTGCAGAAACTAGGGTTTGTGTTGTGTTTGTTCGCTGATCGTCATCAATTTGTAAGTAATCTTGACCATATTATATCTCGGTAGGTTTACATTTCTTTTTTGAGGTTTAGGGTTTATCATTTGGCTGGTTTGTGTCGTGATTTGTATGGTAGATATTTTCGGTTCATAATTGGGGGTTTTCTTTAAATTGTTCTTGTTTCATTAAATTGGTTGCAGATTGGGGGTTTCATCTAATGTTAATTATTTTGTTATTGTTTCACTTCTGTAACCTTAGTGATTACTGTTAACGTATAATTTATTTTTGTTTATGTTATATTTTGATGAGATTAATTATGCAAAAGTGATTGATCTGAGAATGTATATTGTATGAAGGAACAATGCAAAATCAGTGGTGATTTTGGGTTCCACCCTGATATACAGACATTGTTTAGTTACTTATGGGGTTTGTTATTCTGTGTTATTGTTACTGACTTCTGTGATTTGTGATCAATTACAGTATTTTATTTTTATTTTTTAATAGTATGATTGTTTTGATGTCAGTACTATGGATCTTGATAAAGAACCAAAACCTGATAAAGAACCAAAACCTGATCTTGAAGATTACCAAATAGACCGTTCATATATAAAGATGAGAGAACAGGCTAAGACTCCGTCGGTAAAGCTAAGGTATAATTCAAGTTCTAGCCTAATGTTATTTCAATTTGTAATTCAAATTTAGTTCTAATTGTTATATTGTTGAAATTTTTAGGATAAAGAATCAATACTAGAAGGTTACAGATCTGGTGTGAGGAGCTATTATTTTGAATTTGAATGCAAAGAAGCCTGGGCGGAAAAACTGTGGAAGGGACAGAAGATGCTCGAAATTGGTGTTTGCGCAGAAAATGGAGATATCAAAGAGGAGCCACTGATTCAATACTGATGTTGAAGGAATTCAGAACTCTATATCTGTTGAGACCGAGTGATGTTGCTGTGGACTTCAATCAAGAAGTGATTGTGATTAGTCATGAAGGATTTGATTCCTATTTTGTTGAGTGGTTGAAGCTTGGAAACAACACAAAGCTGAGAGTCTGCCTTTTTTTTGTAAACACATTCGGTGACTATGAATTCAAGGAATTCTGGATTGAATCGATGATGAGGTAAGAATATATTTTTATTTCAAAAAACTCAGTTTCTTTATTTGAGTAGTACATTATAATAATACAACTTTTTACTATCAAGTCCAGAAACATTCTAGATATAATAGGGTATCTACACTAAATGGGTAGAGCCCATGGAAATGTTCTACGTGATGGCTCATATCCTTCTATGGATGAAATGATGGCAGAAGCAACCACAGTCCATAAGTTGTCAAAGGCGCCTACAGGCGCCAGCTTGTCTCCTATAAGGGACTAAGGCGACTGCCTTTGCATAGGCGCAAGGCTACAGGCAGCACAAAGGGCACCTGATTGAACCTAGCCTTTTATTTATTGTTTATTATTACTTTTTGTTTGGTATTTGTTTATTATTACGTTTTAGAGAACCTTACAAAATAAAAAAGAATAAAAGAAAAGAAAAAGCAAAAAAGCAGAAGGAAAGTCAAAAGTGGTTCGAAGCAAAAGGAAAGAGACAGAGGGCTAGGGCTTGCGAAACAAAGAGGATCTGCCGAGATCTCTCGAATCTGCCGACTTCTCTCACGGTAAGTTCTTCTCTCCTCTCTTCTCTCGGCAGACTTCTTTTCTCTCTCTTTTTTTCTCTCTTCTTCTTATTCTTCTTCTTCCTTATTCTCTCGGCAGAATTCTTTTCTTTTCTCTCTCCTTCTCCTTCTCCTTCTCCTTCTCTCTTCTTCTTCTTCGCTCTTCTCTCTTCTTCTTCTCTCTTCTTCGGCAGAACTTATGTGAGTTTGGCATTTAAAATTTACTTTTCCAAAATCCAACTTACAGATTTGTTTATTAGTTTGCTTGTTTGTTTTGTCTTGAGGCTCTTATTTAGGCCTCTGATGATGGCCGTTTAGTGTCATTTATGTTTGAATCCTTGTATAATATTAATATCAATAAGACTATCAATCTTTGTAATAAGAGGAGCAACCAAAACACTTCGGTCTAACACTCCGGTTGAAGTGTTGGGCTTTTAAACCATTTTCGCTATGCTTTATGCACCCAGTTTCCTTTTTGTTGTTGTTATTACAGCTTTTGGGCTCTGGGTTTTCTTCTAATGTACCTTTGTTTGTACAGTTTGATTCTTCATTAAAGTTTAATTACCAAAATATAAGAATTAGCTATCAGTATTCTTTTTTCTTTTTTTGTTTTTGTTTTCGGGATACAAAATGCTTTCTAATATATAAACTTCTCTGATTTAAATTTGCAACCTGGTATATCACCATTTCAAAACAATAAAAATTTCTTGAATTTGGCAACTATTTAAACATGGAATTTCCTAAATGATTTCAATGTTTGTTTTAGTTTTATCTCATAATTCTCCTTAGTTGACTTTTGCATCTTTATATTAATATGTGCGCTTTTGTGCGCCTTGAGCCTTTAACAACTATGGTCACATAACAAAACGGAAGACCTGGAAAATTCCAAAAAGTTCATATTACGTCATATTGGCCTAAACAATCATCCGTCTAGGCCTCACGATTGGAATCCGTTCTACGATTACAAGACCTCTAAGTATGTTCTCTGAATTTTATATCAACATTTCTTTTAATCTATTCAATTATTGTCCTTATATTCTTTTATTGCTCTAAGTTTTTCATTTATTTCTCTTAGTATATACTAGTTTTTTCAGTCTTAGATTCATTTATTGCTTCAAGTCAGTAGTAATTGGTCATGTTAATTTTACAGGGCATCCATCTATTGAAACACCCTTTGTTATTGAATGAGAGAGAGATTTCAATACTTTGTGGCTCTCTGCCATCATTTGGGATATCATCACAGGGATTGTACTTTTAACACTGACCAGAAAATCAATCAAGAGTTGATCAATCCATGGGGAAAGGCAAATTGGATAGATAAGGTTCGCATGGAGCATAAAAAGCGAGTTTGTGTTCCTTATGAGGTTCCACAGTATCAAGAAAATGAGGCTGGAAGTGTAAACCAATACAAATCTTGTATGTCTGATTCGGTTCGTTTTGTTGATAATACAACTCATCATGGTTGTGACCATGCAAAGAATTTTAAGGAACTGGTATGCCATCTTGCTTTTGTGTTGTTTCTGTTTGCTTTAATTTTTTTTTTTCCTGACCTACTTTTAAACTCTACTTGTTTAATGAGCATTCTGTTTTTTCTCAATTAGATATATCTTGAAGAAGATGTAGCCATGGAGTTGGGACACCAGATTTCCTAGCTTTCTCTCAGCCTTACTCAAGGTTTCGGTCGAAGTGGTTAATTATCCGATAATGTAGCTTCTAATCTTAATATGCTCAGGTACAGTGATATAACATGATTTAGCCAGAATTTAGTTGTGTTTACAGTGATTTTAGTAACACAATCCGTGGTAATTGATGTTTCCTTGGTATTTTGTCACTTAATAGTTCTTGAATGTGAACCAGAATTTAGTTGTGTTTCCAGTGATTTTATTACCACTATCAGTGGGAATATTTTGTCAACAAGGTTTAGACTGTTTTGTTTTCTCTAATAGTTCTTGGATGTGAGCCAGAATTTAGTTGTGTTTCCAGTGATTTTAGTAACACTATCGGTGGTAATTGATGTTTCCTTGGTATTTTGTCACCATGGTTTAGGCTATTTTGTTTTCTCTAATAGTTCTTGAATGTGAGCCAGAATGTACTTGTGTTTCCACTGATTTTAGTAACACTATCAGTGGTAATTGATATTTCCTTGGTATTTTGTCACCATGGTTTAGACTGTTTTGGTTCCTCTAAGAGTTCTTGAATGTGAGACGGACTCTCATACCTGTTTGTCTTTGATGCGTGACGTGTGCTTAAATTATCCTCAGAAGTACACTACACTAGATTTTTACCATTGGACAGAAAAATTAATCATGGTATGTATATTTCAGAGTGTTAACATCTGGGTCAAATCGGCTAAACATTTGTGAATGATTGGGGTTAAAGGTACATAAATTGTTTTAATATTGTCTAGTGGACATGTTTAAAGTTAATAGGGTGTGGATTGATAACATTAATTGTCAATGAACATGTATAATTAGTCAAATTAAATTTAAAAGTGTTTAAAAAGAAATTGATATTTGACCATCCCAAAGGGGGTACTAGTTATTTATTGTTGCCCATCTAATTGTTGCCCATCTAATTGTTGCATGTGGATTCGAACGTCCTTTCAATTCAATAAATTAGCCTTATGTTTGTTTTTCCATTGATTGATATATACATCATATGCAACAAATAGGACTGCCCTTAGCACTCCTTCAATTAGTAATGTAATATTTTACATAGGGCTGTGAATGAGTCAAAGCTGGGATGAGTTTACTGTAGCTCAATCGAGCCTAGCTTAACTACAATCGAACTTGGCTCAACTTTGGGTAAACTAAAGTTCGGCTTGTGAGCTCGTTTCTCCCATCAATTTTTTTTTTCTTTGCAAACACACGCCAAATAAAAAAAAAAAAAAGTAAATTAGGGAACAAGATGACCGAGATACCGATATATATAAAATCTGCATTTTATATATACACATACAGAGGTACCATCTACCTGGAGAAATCACCATTGAACTTAAATAAATTTCAGATCTCTATCATCTTCAAACTCTTTACACAATAAAAATGAATCAAGATTAAGTTGAAATTTGTGAGATTGTGTTATAGGGTTTGAGAGTAAATAAAAGAGAAGAAAAGGGGGAGAAGAGGAAAAACATTATTCTCGTAGGGTAGAATAAAACCTACGACAGATTCTCATCACTCTAAAAGTATATATAAAACAGCAAGAAAATAAAACATCCTTTAATACAATAAGGCCTAATAACCCAACTCTCTAACACCCGCCTCTAGCTGGAGCATACAGATTGAACATGTAGGGCTTGAAACACAGTAGCTGAAATGCACTACAACCTAAAGGCTTCTTAAATATATCACCAAACTGATCGTCAAAACAAATATAGGGCATAACAATTTGTTTCCGCACCAACAAATCACAAATAAAATGGCAATCAACCATTATATGCTTGGTGAGCTCGTGAAAAACAGGATTACGAGTGTGGAGCCTAATGTCACAAGAGAGGAGGAAGAAAGAACCTCAAGCTGTCGTTTGGTGGAAGCTTGATTGATATTGTACACCGAGGCCAAATTTTGGGAATTTTTGGGAGGTATTTTGATAATTTCTGTACTTATTATGTTACCTTAGTGCGAATGTATTTATTTATTCTGAACCATCTCTATCTTTGTTTAGATCATCATAGTGAAATCCCATGCAACTCTTAAACGTAATCCTATATTTTGAGTGAACCAAGTAAAAATGTGTGTGTTCTTGTTGTTTGTTTGATCTATTTTTTGTTTAATTTCGCAAAATTATGGTGTTCGTGTGCGAATTTTGAATGAACCAAATAAAAATGTGTGTTCTTGTTGTTGGCTTGATCTATTTTTTGTTTAATTTCGCAAGATTATGGTGTTCGTGTGAGGCAGTTCTTTGATCTTCTCATTAGCGTAATTAGCGTGAATAGAAGGAAAATGATGTGAAATGAAATTACAATTAGTTTAAATGGTAAAATAGACTCGGGTCATTGAAAAAGCTTAGGTTATTAAGAAAGATAATGGGTTTTGGATTTTTAATATCTAATTGTTGGGAAGGATTGTTATATATATATATATAATTAATTGGGTCTCTTTATGTGGGTTATTATTCTAATATTACAAAGGGTTTGGATTTTTAATATCAAATTGTAAGGGGAAGGTATTTTTTTTTTTTTTTGAGAGAGAAGTAATGTGTATAGTTTTGTTATTTTCCATTACTAATATATAATGGTAATAGAAAAACAAAAGTAAATTTTTTAAAATATAAAAAAGGAAAATTGATTAACTAATTGTCGTAGATTAGATTCTAAGGTCAAGATTAAAAAGTAAGCATATTCCTTGCTCATCGAGGAGCAATTAAACACTATTCACGAATGTGTTCACAAACTAACGAACCAAACACACAGGTGTTTGAGCTTAACTAGTTTATTAAATTGAGTCTAAGAATTTTATTTGAAATTGGTTCATTTATTAATCAAACGAATACGAACTGGGTTGTTTGTTGAAAGTTTGGCTCATTTGCATAAATATAGATATCCAAAAGAAAACTTAAAAGATTCTTAATATAACTAACATCTTAACTTGAAATTATAATTTAAATGGTAAAGTACAGAAAAACTCCCCGAAGATAATTTAGACGGTAAAGTACAGAAACCCTCCCGACTTGTAGCTTTTTCCAATAAACTCTCTTCGTCTAATTTTTTTACCAAATGACCGATCTATCGGCAAGTTGCAAGACCACAGAAGTTGGCTTAAGATCTCCCAAACCAAGCTGTAAGTAAACCGAGTATGGAATTAAATTCACACTAGCTCCTAAGTCAAGGAGGGCCCTATCTATCTTGTTGTCACCAATGACACACGAGATAGTTGGGGAGCCCGGATCCTTATACTTTGGAGGAGCACTGTGTTGAATGATGGCACTCACATTTTTAGTTAACCTTACTTTCTTTGGTAAATGATTTCTGGACGTGCGCTTTTGAGTGCACAAATCCTTGAGAAATTTTACATAGGGAGGGATTTGCTTGATAGCATCCAAGAGAGGCAAGTTAATCTTTACTTGCTTGAAAACTTCCCACATGTCTTGAATTTTGCAATTCTTGTTCCCAAAATGCATCGACTCTTGGAGTCGTTGAGGAAACGGAGCCTTAGGCTCGTAAGAAGTTTCCACATTTGGGTTGACAAGCCTGGGATTTTCATGAGTAGGATTTGAATTAGATGAGCTTGCTTTTGGACTTTCGGAGGGAGAATTTTTATCATCCTTGTCTCCGTCAACCTTGTTGTCAACAAGTCGACCACTCCTAAAGGTGGTGATTGATTGAACTTGTTCATGAATTGGCCCACTCGTAGGAGGGGTTTCATCAATCACATGCATCCCTCTAGGATTTTCAAATGGTTGAGCGGGAAGCTTACCCTTGTCCTTTTGCAACAACTGGTTCATGGAGTTAGCTATTTGACCAACTTGATTCTCAAGTTTAGCTATGGACTGAGTATGAGAATGAACCATTTGGAGAGTGGGCTGCAAAGATGACAAGAGTTGCTTATTGGATCCCATCATTTGTTTATTTGCAGCCATAATCTCATCTTTTGGGGACATAGGAGGTTGATTAGAGACATTTAGATTATTCGGAGGACGGTAATTCGAAGAGGCTGGAAATTGCCTATTTTGAAATTGAGAAGAGGGTAGATTTTGATGCCTTTGAGTTTGAAATTGAGAATTTTGTGGGGCTTGTTGCCGCCATGAAAAATTCGGATGATCTCTCCAACCCGGATTGTAGGTGTTGGAATATGGATTATTTCTGGGCCTTGAGAACATAGCATTTGCTTGCTCTTGATTTGGATTGGGAAATTGCTCTGGTGTGGGGCAATCTTCCGAGAGATGGAATAGACTTGTACATAATGCACAGACCATACTTGCGGAATTTTGGGACAATGAAGGGGAGAGATGTGGTGCCATCAATTGATAGAATTTGTGAGCTATGGCATCCACTTGAGATGATTCTTCCCTTATTGATTTTGGTTGACACAAAGTGGGGTTCTTTGCATTGGTTGAGGTCAGAGCCCTACGAGAATTATGTTGTAATGAATTCTCACTTAAATTCTCAAGTAAGGTCCAAGCCTCATCCGCATTCTTTGACATGAACATTCCTCCACATGATGAGTCAACCATGAATCTATGTGGTTCAGTTAAACCAGCATAGAAAGCTTGCACCAATTGCCATTTTGGAATTAAATGATGCGGACATTTCCTAAAGAGGTCTTGTAACCTTTCCCAAGTCTCATGGAGTTGTTCTCCATCAATTTGAGAAAAGCTAAGAATGGAACACCTCATTTGGTTGGTTTTACTCACTGGATAGTACTTCTTGAGGAATTCTTGCTGTAATTGAGCCCAAGAAGTGATGGAATTTGTAGAAAGGGAGTTTAACCAATACTTTGCCCTATCTTTTAAGGAAAATGGGAAAAGATGCATATGGAGTGCATTTTTAGGGAAACCTCACAACCTGATGGTCGAACAGATCTCAAGGAACTTATCAAGATGCTTATATGAATCTTCATTATCAAAACCATGGAAGGATGGAAGCATTTGAATGGTACTAGATTTGATCTCATATTAAGCCGCATCGATGTTTGGCATCACTATGCATGAGGGTGAAGCATAGGTGGTAGGGATGAAATGGTCTCTGAGAGTCATTGGCTCCACATTTGGAATTTCGGCCCTATCATTATTAATTCCCTCATTTCCGATATTTCCTACATTTTTAGCCATTATGTTAAATTCAGTTTCAAGTTCTCTTATGCTAGAAGATTCCTTAAGGTTTCATCTAAGAGTTCTTTCAAGTGAATTTATGTCAACTGGCGAGTCAAGAGTTGGTAAGGAAAGTGATCTACGGCCAAACATCAACAACTCACAACACAATCATCAGAATAATTTATCATCA